CCAGCCCAGACTGAGGCCCCCTGCTGGCAGGGAAGCCTGCAGAGCAGCTGTGTGTCATAAGCCCCGCAGTGCAGGGAGCTTTGCAAGCAGGGGGCTGGGATGGAAGGAGCAGCCCCAGCTGAACTGAGCCGATCCTGCCCCTGCCTGTCCATCTGTCCACCCATCCGTCTCCCCCAAGCAGCCCCAAAGTGACATGGGAATAAAAAGGCTTTGCAGAGGGAAAATGTGCATAAAAGTAATGTGGTTCTAGGTCATTGGGCATATGAATATTAGAATCACCTCAGATGTTTATATAGGACTTACAGAGAGCTTCAGGAACACAACCCTTCTGAAAATCATGTCACTTTTGCTTTGGTGTCTAACTTTAGGTAAATATTCATTTTAGCATTTTTATTAGAATACTTTAGAGATATAGAACCAGATTTTAAACTGTGCTTTAAGACACACAGATGCAAGGAAATAGGATAGAGATGAGGAAAGATTAAAGGGATTTAGTAGGGCTGGGGGGGGCTATAGCCCCCCCAATTTGGAGTGGCCTAGGCAGGATAAGGGCTGTCCTCAAGGAAGGGCAGTGGGGCGGGTTCTGGGGCGGCCGGGGGGACGGGGCATCCTGCATTTCACACTAAAGTTCTGCTCAGAGCCCTGGCTCCAGCGGCCGCTCTTAGCTGCACCCGAATTTGAGTTACTCCCCACTTTGCCTTGGGGGCAGGGAGTTTGCTCCTCAGCAGAGGGCGGCGGGGTGAGGGACTTGTCTTTCCGGTAACTGAAGGATCCTTAGAGGCTCAGGAAAGGAAGGGCAGGAACGAACAGGGGAGCTCCATTGGGGCCGCTCTTCAGAAACGATCCGGGGTGACCGGGGAGGTGGCAAAATTTGCCAAGGACACACAATTACTCAAGCTCCTCAAGCGCACAGCAGGCCGCACAGCGCGACAAGGGGGCCTCACAGGCCTGGGCGAGGGGGCGACACGAGGGCAGGTGGAATTCGGTGACGCACGTGGAAAAACCGAATCCCAGCTACCGATACAAAAGCGGTGGGGTCTGAAATAGCTGTTCCCACTCAAGAGCGAGAGCTTGGGATGCTTGTGTAGATAGTCCCCTGAAAACATCCGCTCGGTGCGCAGGGGTCGGGGGAAAAGCTCACCGGAAATTGGCAATCATTCAGATGTGGTCACCCCATTCTTAAAAAAAAGATCGATTGGGAACGGCATAAACAGGGCATCCGAAATGACTCGGGGGTAAGGCGCAGCTTCTGCGTGAGGAGAGATTACCAAGATGGGGACTTTCCCAAAATGACTAGAGGGTAGGCGCAGACATTCAAGGTCTAGAAAATCACGACCGGTGTGGAAAACCTGAGGAATTTACTCCTTGGCTGACAGAACACAAGGTCGCCCCATTAGAGTTCTAGGCAGCGGGTTTAAAACACAGCAGAGCAATGCGTTTCTTCACTGTCAACCTGTGGAACTCCTTGCCAGGGGACGGTGGCAAGGCCCAAGGTGTAACAGGGTCCCAATAAGAACACAATAAATTACTGGAGGAGGAGTCCATCAGGGAACAGGATGGGTCTGGATGGAGGGATTCTGGAGGAGGCCAAGCACAGCGGGTCCAACCTGATCCCCGTGGGAGCTTGGCAAAGTTTCACTCCCTAAACCCAGCCACTGAACGGCAGCCACGGTGGGGACAGCGCGGACTTCTAGTGTCCCCTCCTCCTCCCCATCCCTGCCTGCCCCCCAGCCTGGGCTAAGCCCCCTCCCCCCAGCCCAGGCTGCCCTGGGCAGAGTGTGTAGAGTGTGGGGGGGTGTATATGACTGTGCTCTGGAAGGTGCGGTGCTGTCACCAGTGGCTCTGCTGACACCTTGTCCTGGTGATAAGGGGGAGGCCCAAAATAACCCCTCAAGAGCCCCTAATCGTGGGTCATGAGATAGAGGATAGGCCGGCCCGGGAGGCAGGGGGGGCCGTGCAGTCTGATCCAGCCCATTATGCTCCAGGGCCCACTCTGGATTGACCCTGGGTTGGGGAGAGGCCGAATCCGGCCCTTCCCCCGCTCTGCCACCCCCCTGGGCCCAAGGGCAAGAGATCACAGATGGGGATTAGTGGAGAAGGGACGCAGCCAGATGCCTTCCCGCCC